GGCCTCTCTCTTGGCGTGTCTCTACTTGATTTTGGCAGATTTCCTCTGCAGGCATTCCAGTCACTGTCATGTCTTGCAGGTCTCCCCTGAAGTTTTGGCTTCCTCCCCACATCTTCATGCACTGCCCTTTCAGGGAATTTTTACAGGGATTCTGACCTGCTACACTTTGCTTAGCCTTCAAAGCCACCTTTGAAATCTACATGGAAGCCTCCATGACTCCCTGACTCCAGCATTCTGCATTCCCGAAAAGCCAGCACTACCTGGTTGATGCCAAGGTCTGCCACAATCATGGGCAGTATCCAAGACTCCAGAGACCACAGCTGCAGCAGCCTCTGAGAGCCGGGGTGGTCATGCATGGTGAAACAACCTGTGAAAGCACAGTGCCCCATGGTCTTTTCTCAAAAATTTATCTTTACACCCTTGAGACTGAGATGGGTGTGGACTTGCCAATTCCAAACATGCCCTCAAACCATCTTTCCTATTTTCTCTCTATAAAGTACTTAGCATCTTTTAATGGCTGCAATCTTTTCAACAACCTCCATTGGCTCCATTGTATATGCATTTTTCTGGCCCTTGCAAGTGTTTCAAATCTCTCCCCTCTGATTTCTGCTCCAGATTATCACAGTTAACTTGGCTAAAAGTTTCAATGTCCATGCGACTGCCTTAATGTTGTGCTGCCTTAAGATTTCCTTCACCAGGTTATTTAGTGCATCACCTTTAAATTCAATTTCCTAAAAAGTCTCAGGACCTGGGCAAAACATAGAAAATTTATTTGCCAGAATGTAACACAAACATCCACTAGTCCAATTTCCATGAGAGTTCTTCCTTCCCTCTGATGCTGCCTGAGCCCAGTCTTTACTGTCCACAGGCATTCTGGTCTTCTGAGTTCCCACAAAAATCACTCACTAAGCTCTGATTACAACATTCTAAGTCTCCTCTATCCTGCATTTCCAAATTTTCCAAACTTCTCCCACAAACCAGTTTCTAATGCTTCTGAACCACATGATCAGGTTAACCACAGCAATAATCCCACTTGTGGATCAATTACTTTATTAGTTTTTTTTTTTTTTTTTTTGCCAAAATAACCTTTTTCTCCTTATTGGTTGATTATAAGTCAGTGGCCAGGAAAGGACAGGTGTGTGGGGTGAGGTCAGGGAGCTCAGCCAAGGCAGAGAAAGGGGGAGGTTGGGGGCAGGCCACTCCTTTGACAGAAAACTCCACAAGCCAGCTCTCCCACCTCTCTGCATGAGGCTCAGACAAAATCCCAGGACCTCAAGGGAAACTGAGGCAGGTCTCGTCCTCTAACATGCCCATGAGTGGGATCTGGGGAAGCAGTGTCCACTCACAACTCACTGCTGCTTAAGGAAGAGAGACGGGTGGGGGGTTGGGGCTGCTTCAGGCTTTGCCTACCTGACCAGGGCTATTCCTTGTGGGGGGGGGGGGGGCACTCAGTGACTGAGGAGCAGGGACTGTGAGAGAAGGCCTCAAGGTCTCCACCAAGAATTCCTTGACCCTGGAGAAGGGTCTTTGGGTTGAGAAGTCAGGGGTCCTGGATGTGGGCAATAACAGGGGTCCTGAACTCCTCCACACTCCACAAGCCAAAATAATTACTCAGAGACCAATCAGCTCTGTCATCAGGGCAAGAATTTTTACTTCCATGTGCAGAAGCAATGAAAACCAAAGCAGGCATGTGGAACAGGCCATCTGGTCCGCCTTCATCCCTGATGCACAGGTGCAAGATTACTGCCCATAGGTAGGAGCTGACCGCAGCAGAACAGCAATTAAGAAGGTCCTTAACAGGCACTCACTGGTTGGCTACTTCACTGTTCACTGTTGGGTTATTTAAGAACCATACCTTTATCACCCACCTGCCTTGCTCCCATGGCCGGGGCCCAGGGTGGAGCCCCTGAGCCTGCAGTCAGTCTCTGGCGGCCAGACCCTCCCTCCCACCCGTCTGCCCATACTCCTGCCAGCTACTTGGACTTTCCCTCCAGTGCCATGCTCACATGCCAACCATGTCCCAGTTGGAGCTAAATACTGAATTCCACCGGCTCAATACTGCATTTTTCCCCACGTGGAGAAGGCCGGGTCCTGGGTCAGGACGCTGAGCCAGAGGTGCCAGGTCAAGGCTCCCGCATCCGGGGAGGGTGGCTGGAGTAGAGTCCCTTTTTGGGGACCAATAATCTCAAGAGAGCATCTGCAGGTGAGGAGGCGAAGCCAGGGAGCCCTGAGGAGGATATCGAAGAAGGCATAGCCCAGCCTGGCCTTCCAGAACGTTCCACCCAGTGAACAGCCAGGAACACCAGGAGAGAAACCTGAGAAGTGACCCCGCGGGAAGGCTGAGGAGGATCCCGGAACCAACACGTTCTAGGCCACGCCCGGAGAGGTTAGGGGGCTGCGACTTCCGGTAGGAAGCTCCCCGAGGGGCACAGCTGCCTGCGCCAAGGTTCCCAAGGCAGCCCAGGCTTCTGAGGCAAGGTTCCTGAAGTGGTGGCCGACTTCCGGGGAAGGTTCGCAGAGGGAGGCCCGACTTCCGGGCGGAACGTTCCTGACCCGGTGTGGTTTCCAGCCGGAAGAGCCGAGCAGGGGCCCGCTTAGGGCAGGAAGGTTCCAGAAGTTGGGCGGCGTGCACAGTAAAGTTCCTGGGCGGGGCGGAGGCTTCCTCCTGGAAGGTTCCAGAGGTGGGCCCGGGGTCGGCTGCCGCTTCCAGGGGGGAGACGGCTTGGGCAGGGACAGTTAGCCCCGTGGAGTGTTCCAGAAGGGCGGCGCGCCTTCTGACTGGAGGGTGCCAGGCGCGGAGCGACAGGCCCGCGGCCCTCACGAGGGCTGAGCGGCCGCGCGCCTCTGGCCCCAGGCCGCCTGCAGCCCCGGACCGCGATGCTCCCGACCCTCGACCCCGACCCTGCCCTCTCGGACCCTCCTCCGGCTCTCGGGGCGGGAAACTCTTCCCCACACCCTGCCCTCTGGGCACCCTCCTCCCCGGGCCCTTCGCCCACCCCCGCGCGCCAGGGAGCCCTTCCCCCTCATGACATCCCTCCTCTCTGGGGTCCAGCCCCGTCCCACGCCCCTCCTCCCACGCCCCTCCTCCGTCCTGGGCCCTCTGCGCCTCCACACCCTCTTCCCGGAGCCCTTCCTCTCCAGACGTGCCCCCTCATGACACCTCACCTGGACCCCCCTCCCTCGTAGCACCCCTTGACCCATGGACCCTTCTACCCCACTCCCCTCATCAGACCCCCTACCCCAGTCCCTGGCCTTCAGGAACCCCTGTCTTGGTCCCCGGAATTCTGCTGCCCACACTGTCCGCTCCCAAGGTGGCGTCCGATCTCCTGTAGGACCTCCCCTCCTGTCCTCTCCCGGGCCCCATCCAGGCTCTTCTGGTTCCTTCCGACCCTCCTCTCAGAAACCCCGACCTGCCCAGGGCCCTGGACCCACACAGGGGTCCACACTCTCGTCCTGTAGACCTGGGGTCCCCGAGACCCCTTTGAGCAGATGCTCTCAGTGTTCCCATGTGTCACCTCAGAGACACTTTAGTCCCGAGACCCTCCTTCAGGATTGAGCCCACGTTCTCATGGCTTCTCCCTGTCACCCCTGCTCTCTTAGTCTCACCCCTTTGTCCTTTAGTCCCTTCCCTTAGTGGGCAGAGGCCCCTCCTCCTGGAGCCCTGCCCACAGGACCTTCTGCTCCTGACCTCGGCCTCCTCTCCTGTGGCCCGAATCATCCTGCATCTCCAAAAGCCTCGACTTCTCAGTGGCCCCCGATCTTTCCCCTTCCCCTTCCTGGCTCACTGTGTGGGTCCACTGATGACTGCTCAAGGGGGAACTGGACCAGGTTCCCCACCTGCCCTGGTCCACAAGCATGCCTCTGAGCCTGCTCTTCCCTCTGGGCCCTTGAGGCTGCTGAGGCCAGCTCTGAGTCTCTCCTGCTGTCACCACCAGCCTGGGCACAGCAGCATGCCTTCCGCTGGGCATGATCTGGGGCCACCTATTATTTGAAGTGTCCCCTTCAATTCCAAGCAGGAGGAAGTCCTAGTTCTCCTTTGGTGAGCAACTTCTGGCTTCCTGTAGCTGAAGTCACAAAGTGGACTCAGGGCTCCACCGTCGCTTTCTGCTGCCACCAGCCTGCCTTTTGACCTCTGTGATCCTTTGGGCCTGGAAGCTGGCCCCAGCCACTCCTCTGCATTCTGAAGCCTCCTCCGCTTTGGGCTCTGGCTGTCTTTGGGGGTCCTGGTAAAGGAGTCAGATCTCAAGATCTCCCGTAGCGGGTCTCCCGGGAGCGCCGCCCCTCACTCCTGCTGGGTGGCGGTCTCCATCTGGCCTTCGCTTTTGAAGTCTGTTTGCCCTGGCACACTCTGGCGTGCTTGCTCAGCACTTGCCGGTCTGTGTGGGCAGGCCAGCCACCACTTGAATTATTGCTGTTGGAGACGCTGCCTTTCCTTTTCTCCCGCGGCCCCTCACGTTTTCCGGTAGTTTTCGGTGGTCTGTGTGTGATGTGTCTGAGACTGGGTTTCCTTGGACTTCCTCGGCTGTGGATCCGCTGGCCCTTTTTAAGTTTGTGGGGTGATGCTTTTCACTGCTCTTGGGACATTTCGGTACCAGTGGTCCTTCAAACGCTTGCTCCCTCCATGTGTGTCTTCTCCTTGTGCAGATCCAGTTGCGGGTGGGCCGCACAGCTGACTCACATGGATGCAGCTCCTCTTTCAGCTGCTATGCACTTTGGCCTTTCTCTCTTTCTGGGTAGCGTGTGGACATTTTCCGTAGGCCTCATCACGTTTGTTGTTTCCTCTTGCCGAGTCCAGTTGGCTGTTAATGGCGTCCAGGTGAATTTTTAAATTTCAAATATTTTGCTTTTCTTGGTTCAGGAATATCCATTTGATTCTTCTGATAGGTTCCGGTTCTGTGGGGAGGGGGCCTGTGAGGAAGGCGGGAGACTCCTGTGGTGGTTGATGCTGGGGGCGTGAAGTGGAGCAGGGAGCCGGCTTCTCGCTGACTGGCTGTGGGTCTCTTCACTTTCAGGTCCAAGCTCCTGCCCTATATGATGCTCCCCTTGTTCCTGCTCCTCTTTGTGGGGCTCCCACTTGTGGAATCCCATTTTACCAACGTGACCAAAGCCGTTCCAGCTGCTTGTAAGTATCATCTTTTCTGAGACATGGAGGGCATATGGATTCTCCTCGAGTTGCCCGGGGTCCCAGGAGGACGTGGCAGGAATCTGGCCATCTGAGCTAGCTGTGGTGTGCATTGTCAGTGTTGTTGGGAAGAACTGAGGGTCAATTGGGCTGTGTTTGTGTGCAGGGGAGAGAAAGGAGGAAGGATGGCTTCCCTCAAAGAGCAGCTGACCAGGAGACCTGAGGGGGAGCTTGGAGGTGACCCTTGCCCATTAGGGACAGCAGGAGAGGACAGCAGCGTCCAGGGAAATCCAGGAACATGCTGGCTTCTTAGGGGAGCGTCCAGACTTCCTTGGAGAGGTGGGCCCCTCTGCAGAGCTCATGGTCCCCGCATGTCTTCCTGAGAAGAGGGAAAGCTCCTAGGTTGGCCTGGCTTCCCTCCTGGGAGCAGGTCTTGGCCAGACTGGGACTGCACTGAGACCAAGCTGTGCAGGCTCAGGCAAGTCTTTGGGAGAGAGGGCAGGGCCAGCTACTGCATGGGGAAGACGAGATGGTAATGGGTGGAAGGATACTTTGGGGCAGAAGCCCAATGCCTGCTTTCCCTCCCTCAGGGACCTTCAACGTGCAGTGCCATGAATGTGTGGCTGAAAACACGTTTGATTGCCCGAGGCTCAGGACGTGCTTATACGACCATAGACGCTGTATGACCGTAGCTGCACGTAAGTGTCCCTGTGCTCTTTTCACACCTGTGGTCCATCGTCTAGCTTGAGCGGTTTTGGGAGTGGAGTCTGTATGGTTCTCTTTCTGCACCCTGACCTGCTTCCTTCTCCTGGTATCTCCCCGCCCTGAGGACTGATTCCCAGGTCCTGCCATACCTCACGTAGGGCACTGTGCACCAGCTTGTGCAGTCAGCTGAGGGGAGGGGGAGCAGAGTCCACACCTGCCGTGTCTTCAACGGTAGGAATGTTGCTGGACCTACAGGTCTCTCGCTTGGGTCTCCCTGCTCATGTATGTAGATACCTCAGTGTAGCCTGGTTGATCGTCATTTGAATTCTGGTCATGTGCCGGGTGTGGGGCGGGGCGGGGGGGGGGGTTGTCCAGCTGTCCAAGTCCGAGCAGCAGATGTGCTTCGACCCCTCAGGGCCATGCCGGTAACACTGTCACACACAGATGGTGTCAGGGCAAAGCTGGCCCCCCAAAGTGTTCTTGCTTCTTCCTTGCAGGCCTCTAGTGCTGTGAGGCAGGTGTGCGTCTCCCCAGGGCGTTACTGTGAAGACCCATGTGGCCAGAGGCTCAGGGACCCAGAGGCAGGCAGTCTGTGGGATTGTGACAGACAGCTGGAGGTCTTGTCTGGGCCCTGTTCAGGACCCTTCCTCTGGTTGCTGTCTTCCCCGACCTGAGTTTGTTTCTGCAGCTTCAGGTGCCTTTCTGTTTCCCGAGCTGGGTGTAAAGACCTCCAGACTGCCCCGTCTTCACTGGACCAAGTGCCCTCACGCTGTGGTGATGTGCTGAGTTGGGACAGCAGGAGGCTGAGAATCTGGCTTTGTCACCGTGGTGGGCCACTGGTGGGGACCTTGATGGGTTATGTGTTGTCATTTCTCAACTATTGTTGCAAGTGAGACTGGCTGATGTTTTCTGAGGATCTGCATCCCGGTGTGGCTGCATTAGAGCTGGCAAAGGGAGAAACCTGAATGACATTTGTAAGGGTGGAGTGAAGCAGGGACCAGTAGTCTGCGCAGGCATGGTGGCCTTCTACAGCGCTTGACCTGGTTTGAGTCAACTTCCTGTCATTGTAGCCTATACCTCACATAATCATAAGGACGCAGGTTTGTTTGGGTTCACAGGTTTATAGGTTTCAGTCCATGACTGGTTGAGCCTGGGGCTGAGCCTCATGGAGCAGGTGGAGGACCAGAACTGCTCACGTCATTGCCGGGAAGTTCATTGTGTGTATGCGCACACAAACATACACACACACACACACACACACACACACACAACATAAAACTTACCATCCCCCCCCCACCACAACAATAAAACAAAAAACAAAAACCCAGGAGAAGGAGAGGCCTGGGGCCCCATCACCCCTTAAAGGGCATGCCCTCTGTGACCTGAAGCACTCCCAGTAGGCCCGACTGCTGAAAGATTCCCCAGCTTTTCCATTGCACCATGGTGGGGAACAAGCCCTTAACACATGGACCTTTGGGAGCCACCTACATTCTAAACTAGAGCAACAGTGGACTGCATCCTCCTTTAGATCCATCCACCTTCCCCTGTGCTGGGTCTTTTTTTTTTTTTTTTGATGAATTTTATTTTGACTCATGCATTATTAACATTAGTAGACATAGCAATGCATTGTTGCTTTTTAAAACTATCTTTATTTATTTTTAAGTGGAGCTGAGGATTAAACCCAGTACCTCACATATGTGAGGCGAGCACTCTACCACTGAGTCACAACCCCAGTCCCTGTGCTGGGTCTTTTAACCAGTAGCTTCATGGCTCTTGCAAGTACACCAGTGAAGCAGTTTACACATTTCTGCAGGAGACCTCTTGGTATGGGCCTGATGGGGAGGACAGAGGTGTATGGCTTTTGTTATTTTCCTGAGAAGTCTGACTTTCCCTTCTGCCTCAGTGGCAGGTCGCTTGGCTCCGGATGGTTCCTCTGATCTTCAGTTCTTTCTCACTTCCTGCTGTCATCTTGGGAACTGTGACAGCTCTGTTTGACATCTGTCCCCATACTTGTTTAGGGGTTACCCTTACCTAAGTGAACCCGATGGACACTAGGACACAGAATCCTGTGTGAGAGGTTGGTGAGATCTGGGAGTGCATTCTCCCTTCAGGATATTTGTTGATTTCAGGGGCTTTGTAAGACCAAAAGCAAAAATCACTATATGGGAAAATTTGATTGTCAGAGACTGAGCCTCCACCCACACCATACTTTGGAAGGACACATAGGTGAATGGAACAGAAGAGAGAACCCAGAAACAGCCCCATACAAATATGCTCAACAGATTTTTGACAAAGGTGCAGAGTTCATTGGTAGGGGAATAGTGGCCTTATCACCTGTAGGTTAAAGGCACCTTGACCTAAAATCTTACACTAAACGTAACCCCAAATGAACCATGGGCTTCGGTGTAAAAGGCTAAACTCTAAAACATTCAGAGAGAAAATCTTCAGTATCTAGGGTGAGGCAGAGTTTGTAAACTTGATACCAAAGTGTGATCTTTGAAAAGCCACCACCGGGACATTGGCCCTAAACCAATTAGTGTTTTATCATATTATTCATTTTTAAACAGTGCATTATAGTTACACATAGTAGTGTAATTTATTTTCACATATTTGTACATGCATAAAATGTAGGGATTTCATCAGTTGCATTCCCCAGAACACTCCTTTACTCTTCTCACTCTCTGCTGATCCATTTTTTTCTACTCTCCTGCTCAACCTTCGATTTTTATTAGATCCTTTCTCATATTTTTTTTCTTTTTTCTATCTATCTTCCACAAACGAGAGAAAACAGATAGGATCCTTGACCTTCTGAGTTTGGCTTATTTTGCATAATGCTCTCAAGTTCCATCCATTTTCCTGCAAAATTTTTCTTTATGGCTGAATACATCTCTCTTGTGTGTATATATATACCACATTCATCATTCATTCATTGGTGGACACCTAGGCTGGTTCCATAGTTTGGCTGTTGTGTGAATTGTGCTGCTATAAACACAGGCTTGCATGTATCACTATAGTATGCTGACTTTAATGCTTCAGAACAAATATCAAGGAGCGATATAGCTGCGTTGTGTGGTGCTTTCATTCCTAGACTTTTTAAAGACCTCTGTACTGATTAAGTACTACTGAAAAGTAGTTGTACTTTTCACCACACTATCACTTATTGTTGTTTGTATTCTTGATGACTGCCCTTCTGACTGGGGTGAGAGGAAGTCTCAGTGTAGTTTTGATTTGCATGTCCCTATTTGCTAGAGATGTTGAGCATTTTTTCATGTGTTTATTGGCCTTTTGTATTTCTTCTTTGGAGAAGTGTCTGTTTAATTCATTTTCCCACTCATTGATTGGGCTGTTTTTCTCTTGTGAGGTTTTTTGAGTTCTTTATATATTCTAGATATTAACTCTCTGTCAGAAGAGGAGTCAGCCAAGGTTTCTCCTATTCTGTAGATTCTCTCTTCATGCTCTAGTTGCCTTTGCTGTGCAAAAGCTTTTGAATTTGATGCCATCCCATTTATTAATCCTGGGTATTCCTTCTAGCTTTAGGAGTCCTGTTGAGGAAGTCCAAGCCTGCATCCACCTATACAGGTGTGTTGATCTTATGTTCTCTTCTAGGAATTGCATGGTTTGGGGTCTGATTCCTAGGTCTGTGATCCATTTTGAGTTGACTTCTGTGCAGGGTGAGCAATAGGGATCCATTCTCATTCTTCTACATATGTATGACCAGTTTTATCAGCACCATTTGAGAAAAGTCTCCAATCTGTTTTAGGCACCTTTGTGAAGGGTCAGATGATGGTATCTGTGTGGGTTTGTCTGTGTCTTCTATTCTGTTGTTCTGTGTGTCTGTTTTATGCCAGTACCATGCTGTTTTTTTTTTTTTTTTTTACTATAGCTCTTTAGTATAATTTGAAGTCAGATATTTGATGCCTCTAGCCTGGCTCTTATTGCTCAGAATTGCTTTGGCTACTCTGAGTCTTTTATTCTTCTAAAGGAATTTTATGACTTTTCACCCCTAGTTCTGTGAAGAAAGTCATTATATTTTGAAGGGAATTGCACTGAATCTGTAGAATGCTTTCAATAATATGGCCACTTTAACAATATTACTTCTGCCTATTCATGAACACTCAAGTCTTTCCATCTTCTAAAGTTTTACTCAGTTTCTTTCTTCAGTGTTCCATATTTTTTTTTTTTTGAGAGAGAGAGAGAGAGAGAGAGAGAGAGAGAGAATTTTTGAATATTTATTTTTTAGTTTTCAGTGGACACAACATCTTTATTTTATTTTTATGTGGTTCTGAGGATCGAACCCAGCGCCCTGCGCATGCCAGGCGAGCACCCTACCACTTAAGCTACATCCCCAGCCCAGTGTTCCATATTTTTATTGTAGAGGTCTTTCACCTCTTTAGTTAGGTTATTCCTAGGTATTTTATTTTTTGTGACTACTGCTGATGGAATTGTTTTCTTGGTCTGTCTCAGTAGGTTCATTATTGGATTATAGAAAAGCCATTAATTTTTAACTTATGCTCTCTGTTTTAAAGTAAATATTTTTATTAATTTTTGTTCAGATTCTTTTTAGTTATATAAAACATTGGGATACATAATCAAAACACATGGAATATAATTTGCTCTAATTCAGTCCTCAGCACTTCCTTCCTCTACCTCCCTCCTCCCTCCTGCTCCCCTGATTTTTGTATGCTGATATTGTATTGTGCTCCTTTGCTGAATTGATCAGCTCTAAATGTCTTCTGGTGGAGATTTTTGGGTCTTCCAAATATAGGATCATGTCATCAGCTAACAGAGGTAATTTGACTTCTTCTTTTCCTATTTGTATCCCTTTAATTTCTTTCTCTTGCCTGATTGCTCTGGCTGAAGTTTCAAGGACAATGTTGCATAGGATGGTGAGAGTGGACATCCTTGTCTTGTTCCTGATTTTATAGGAAATGCTTTCAGTTATTCTCCATTCAGTGTTCTGTTGGCTTTAGGTTTTCCTTATATAGGCTTTGTGAAAACGAGGTAGATTTCTTCTATCCATGGTCTCATCAGTTCTTCTTTAACATATACACATGTTAAATTTTCTTTGAGAGCATCATGTGATTTTTGTCCTTAATTCTATTTAGATGATTAATTACACATATTGATTTGCATATGAGAGACCAACCTTTCATTGCTGGGATGAAACCAACTTGATCATGGACATTTTTTTTCTTTTGTTAATTAGAGCTTTATGACTATACATAGTAGTTGAATTCATCCTGACAAACTCATACATGCATGAAAATTGATTTCAATTCATTAGCCCCTGTTTTCCTTCCCATCCTTCCCTGCTTCTTCCTCTGCTCTACTAGATTCCTTTTGCTTGTCTATTAATTTGTATTTAATTGGTTCTTTCTGTAATCTTATTATTTCCTCCCCCTTTTAAAATTTTATTCTAACTTCCACATATGAGAGAAAACATCAACCTTTGAGTTTCTGAGCTTGGCTAATTTCATTTAACAGTCTCCATTTCCACCCATTTACTGGCAAATGGGTGGAAATGGAGACTGCTAAATGAAATTAGCCAAGCTCAGAAAAATTCATTCTTTTTAACAGCTAAGTAGAACTCCATGGAGACTGTTAAATGAAATTAGCCAAGCTCAAAAAAATTCATTCTTTTTAACAGCTGGGTAGAACTCACTCCATTATGTGTGTGTGTGTATACATGCACGTGCACACACACACAATTTCTTATTCCATTGCTCTATTGATGAGCGTCACAAATTTAGCTGTTGTGAATTGTGCTGCTATAAACATTGATGTGGCTGTGTCACTGTAGTATGTCAATTTTAGATCTTTTTGGGAGAATACCCAGAAGGGGAATAGCTGGGTCCTATGGTGGTTCCATCCCTAGGTTTTGGAGGGATCTCCAAACTGCTTTGCAGAGTGTTTGCATTAGTCTGTAGTCCCACCAACAATGGGCAAGTGTTCCTTTCTCTCACCACGTAGCCAGTATTTATTGTTGTTTGTATTTTTGATCCTTGCCATTCTGACTGGAGTGAGATGGAATCTTAATGTAGTTTTGATTTGCATTTCCCTGATTGCTAGACATGTTGACATATTTTCATGTGTTTATTGATTTCTGTTTAGTTCTTTTGCCCATTTATTGATTGGGTTATTTGCTTTTTTAGTGCTAAGGTTTTTTAGTTCT